ATGTCTGTCTCTTCATGACCCCCTTTGGGGTTTTCTTAGCAAAGACACAGGAGTAGCTTGCCCTTTCTTTCTCCAGCTCATTTTACAGATGAGGAAACTGAGGCCAAAAGTGTTAAGTGACTTGCCAAAGGTCATACAGCTAGTAAGTGTGTGAGGTTATATTTGAACCCAGGTCTTCCTGACTCCAGACCCAGTGCCCTACCTACTGCGCACCTAGCTGCTCCATCCCCAATGTAGTGATTCTGATTTTGGGAAGTTGAAATCCCTGCAGCAAAATGATTGGGATGATTCTTGTGGGGCAGATGTGAAATCATGCACAAATGTGGCTCCTTCTTGCTGTGTGTGGGCTCAATCTGGTTAGCTCTAGTTATATTGTGAGGAGTAGAACCTGTACTTGGGCAGGATCACAGGGCTAGAAGAGACCTTAGAGGTGACCTAATCTAATGCCTTCTTATTTTTTTGTTTTTGTTTTTCAGATAAATCAACTGAGACCCAGAGAGATACTTACCTATGTTCACAAAGGTAGTATACACCCGAGCCAGGATCTGACCTTGAGCTTTCCTGACTCCAAATTCATCTGCTTCCGCTATATTTATATCATGCTACTTCCTATTTAAAATGTTTTTATCCAGTATTGTCTATTGGAGTAAATATCCATATAAAATTGCACATTCATAAGTCTAACCTCAAGTTAATCATTTATAGACAAAAAAATTTGAACTTAGTTCTTCAAATAGCCTGGGAGTGAAAAAAATGAGCAAGTCTGATTCTTCAAACAATTATATCTAACACAAATTTGAGAAAGCTCAATAATTATTCCTCTATAGTAGAGAATTGAATTTTCTTTGGCTTATTCATTGACAATGAAGAAAGATTTATGGGGAGTTTCAAACACCATGTATGACAGATGATTCTGAGAATGCCCATTTTTCCCCCATGCATTTGCTAGTGAATCAAAAACTCAATTAACTCTGTCAGAAATTAATGCTACACCCAAGTTAGATTTGCCATAGAACACATAGTTCCTTGGGACCATAAAGGAAGGACTGTTTTTAGAAGAGCTTATTTAAGGTGTGTCAACCAAATATTTTGGCATGTGCAAGGGAAGATGTTCGGAGTTTTTCTCTTCATGCTTAGCAAAATCTAGCCCAGCTCCTTTATTTTACAAATGAGGAAAATGAGCCGCAATGATGTGAAAGGATTTTCCCAAGATCAGCTAGCTAGTTAAGGAGAAGTCAGATGTTTTGATGACCAATTCAAAGTTCTTCCTACTACAGAAAACACTGCACCTGAGGATGTTGTTCAGCTTCCTTGCTTGCCTTATAATTTCTGAACACCTAAAACACTGTAAGGAAATACATTTTACCTTTTAGAACATATCAGATTTACATTGTGGTAAACTACAGTCTATACAAAGCACTGACCCAGAAAGCAACCCAACATCCTTCACTTAATGGCAATCCAAGAATTTAGCATTGCTATGGTCAGTAGTCTTTACATTCTATTCTTTTCTCTTCCCACAAAGGAGGGAATGGAAGCAGGGAAATCAGAGCTCTTTAGACAATGGAGTGTTTCTTAGAAGTGTTATTTAAATGAATATTTTTAAATGGTGCTTAAAGACAGCAAAAAAAAAAATAGGGTCAATTAGGGAAGCATCCCTATTCCACCTAGAGATTGGAATTAAATACAGAATTGTCCCAGTGGGAAAGCAAAGGACTAATATAAACAATATAGTTAGAACTAGATGAGAAAGCTAATTGGAAAAAAAAATCTCTGTAGTGCATTTCTCTGATGAAGATCTAATATTCAAGATATAAAGGGAACTGATTCAAATATGTAAGATTAACAACCATTCCCCCAGGGTATAAGGAGTCAAAGGATGTGAACAGGCAGTTTTCAAATGAAAAAAGGTAAACTATCAACAATAATATGGAAAAAGACTCCAAATCATTACTAATAAGGGAAATGAAAATTAAAACAATTCTGAAATTCTCTCTCATATTCATCAGATTGATGATGAAAGATGAATATGGCAATTGTTGAAGGGGCTATAGAGAGACAGATATACTGAAGAAGCTATGACCAATCATTCTGGAAAGTAAACTGGAACTAAATCTTGAACGTCTATAAATTGTCTACCTTTTGATCCAACAATAATACTACTAGGCACATACTCCAAAGAGGTCAAAGACTCATATATATATAAAATAGTTAAAGCAGCCCTTTGTGTTGTAGCAAAGAAATGGAAATAAAGTAGGTGCAGAATGAATGACTAGACAAATGGTGGTATATGAATAACTAATATAACAAATTCAAAGAATCTTATTATGATTTGTATAAACTGATAAAGAGTCAAATTAACTGGACCAGGAGTACAACTTATACTATGACCACAATAATTTAAGGGAAGACAGCTTTGAAAGACTGCAGAACTCTGAGTAATGCAACAACCAATTTTGTCCTTAGAATATGAATGATGAAACCTGTCATTTGTCTCTTGTCAAAGAGGTAAGTCATTCACTAGAGAATGAAGCACAATGAATGAATGAAACACAATTTCAGATATAGTCATTGTGTTGATAACTTTTGTTACATAGGAAGACTTCTACTTTATGGAAGACAGGAAAGGTGAATGAATAAATAGTGATAGAGATTTTTTTTAAAGAAAGAAAACAGCATCAATAGAATATTTTTTAAAACATAAGAAAACAAAAATTTCAGAAAGGGACACAAATAGGGTAATTTTGTTACTAGTGTGTTAAATTTATTATATAGTTTTTTTCAACAAACTGTGTGTATCAGAAATCAGCACCATTAACAATCATTTATTAAGCACTTCTTATGTGCCAGGCACATAAATTCATGATTTCATATACAATTCTCTTTTTGCATACTGAAATCTTCATGCTTACTGATAATTAATTTCATAATTTTTTTTAAATGAGAAACAAAACAGTAACCTGAGAGTTTAGATTTAAGGCCTGAAAGGACTTCAGAGGCACAGGTCCAACCCCTTCATTTTATAAATGAGCAAACTGAGACCTACAGAGATTAAGTGATTGGACCAAGACTACTCAGGTATGAAAGTGGCAGAGTTGGTATTCAAGCCCAAATCCTCTGACTCTCTTGAAATAAATTCTAATCTACTGAGCCAACTGGTTGGTTTGAGTGGCCTTTCTTCACTTGGGATGTTGATTAACTCTGAGGCTTGGCTTGCATGATTACATTTGTGGAATTTGAGAGATGAAGTATTACTCCTATGAATAATATTGGAATCAAAGGATTTAGAACTGGAAAGACCCTTTGAGAGATACTCTGGCAGCATCAGGAAAAGCTTCAATAAATCAGTAGAAATTAGAGAGAAGCAGATTTTGGCCCATCTTTAAGGCAGCTTCTTAACAATTAAAGCTAAGCATTGGAAGCATTGGAAATGCTCAAGTGGAAACCAGTAATATCCAGCTACTCTTTGGAAATGAGGTAAAAGAGATTCATGATTCAGATGGGAGGCAGAACTAGATAATCTCTGAGGTCTTTTTCAGCTCTATAATTCTTTGATTCGAGAATTCCATCAGTCATTACAGCTTGGAATCTTTTTATTTGTACTTCTGGGTCCCAACGCTCACCACTCAAAAGCAAAAGTCACCAAACCCTGGAAATATTGGTTGAAGTAGCTAACCTCAGAAGAGAAAGCAGGTTGTTATTTATTTAGTTTTAGTAGAAATAAGTAACTTTTATTTTCCTCAATCATCTGAACCACTTTTTGGAATCAAGTACAATAGAAATACAGCAAGAATATCACCCTCATTTTCTTTCTTTGTTTTTTCTTTCTTCCTTTCTTTCTTTCTTTCTTTCTTTCTTTCTTTCTTTCTTTCTTTCTTTCTTTCTTTCTTTCTTTCTTTCTTTCTTTCTTTCTTTCTTTCTTTCTATCTTTCTCATTTCAGTGAAGTAGATGGAAAGGAGAAAGAAATTTAAATAAAACCTTTATTCTATTTGCATTCTTTACTGTCTTCCTCACTCAGACTTCCCACTGACCCTGTTCCCCACTGTTTCATTTTGAAAAATTCCACAACCAAACTTTACCAAAGTACCTAATGGATGCCATGACCTCTGTAGCACTAGCTGCTACATCTACAAATGCCATTTAACAACCACTCCTTCTAGACATGTTATTTGGAGGGACCTAAATTCTTATTTTTTTTAATGTTTTCTTTTCAGATGTATTTTTTTCATCATCGTCCTACCACAGTCCTTCAGCATTTTTTTTATCATAATATGATCTCTAAAAAGCCTGGTTTCATTTTTTAAATTAGAGTTTCAAGTATAGAAGATATCTCAATTTAACTCGCTCCCCTTCAAAAAACAAAGAAAATTTTGCACCATCCTACAGCGCCTGATAATTTGTCAGAAAGAATAATGCTGCTTTACTTTTGTACAGGATATGGAAAATAAAACCTCACCAAATGGATACAGTGCTTGGAAATGGCTTTCAAAGGGGCAGGGCTAAAAATTGATCTGGTTACTTGTCAATTGCATTATGTAGATGTGACATCAGCAGTAGGCTAGCTGCATCTATCTAACCTTGGCTCACAGCCCACCCTTCCAATAAGGTTTACATAAGTAAAGAGCCTACTCTGTAAAGATATGACCATCTCTAGGGCTGAAATCTGAGCTCTAAAACCTAATTAAGCAATTTTCCACCAACCTAGTTAACAAGTACTGAACCAAATGCCACAGAGACACCCAGATAAATGCTTGTTGAAACAATAATTCACAGCCAAAAGTCACCAGTGTATCATTTCAGAGACAAACTGAGTCTTTTTTCTCTTTAGTTCTCTTTATCATTCATTTGATGGATCAGCTGGTGTTATAGTATCTCTAACTCCATTTCTATAAGTTAAAGACTTTGGCAATGGAATGCTTTTAGATTCTTGGAAACCATTTCACTCAGTTTCTTGAATTTAATTTAATTTAATTTAATTTAATTAAGTGCATGTCTTTACCTGGTGAGTTGTGCTCATTGAGAATCACAAGAGATGCTGGTGTGGGCCTTCTTTTCCTGATCTGTGAACAGAGACCAGACCAAGGTCAATGAAAAGCAGCTTCTGCCTCTGTTTATATAATCCAGATAACTTATAATTTAATATGTAAGTTTTCTTAGCAAAGAAAATTTGGCTCAAGATGTAATACCATCAGTCCCTAACAGCAGTTTCTTCCCCTGAGAAGTCACATGCCATAGCATATCATATTGCTCTAAGGCATGTATCCTTAACCTGAGGTCTAAGGTTTTTTTAAAGCATTTTGATAACTGTATTTCAATAGAATTATTAGTTTCCTTAATCATATGTATCTTATTTTATACATTAAAAAACATTATTCTAAGAAGGGATCTGTAGGTTTCACAGGAAAGCCATAGGAGTCTGTGATACACTCAAAAAAAAGGATACAAATCCTTGCTCTAGAATAAAAATGGGGAATGCATCAAAAACTTCAACTGAAAAACAATTCAAATATGGAAGTTATGACAGTTCAGTAATGACAAAGAGCTGTCTTCAGTACATCCTAATGCTGAGAGGTAGTCTACAGATCTACTGTCCTTACTTATAAGAACTATGACTAAGCTTGTTAAAATCAGATTTCTATAGATCACTAGAAATAGTAGTTCTTTTCATTGGCATTCTCAAACTTCCCCTTCCTAACACTATACTTAACAGAAATGACTTTAAAAAGTTAGTCCTTAAGTGAATATAGACTACAGTGAAGACTATCATTGTTTTTCATTGGTTTGGCAAATCAAGGGTTTCTGGAGATCCTTAAGATAGAATTTTTTTTGTATTTTTATTTTATTTATTGAATTTTCCCTTTCAATTAAATCTCTAGCTTATGCAAGTAAATTCTGTGTAGAATATCAAAAGAACATGGTTAGAAGGCTTCACCAATGATATCTAATTAGGCAGGATTCCTGTCAGATTCAACACAGATACAAATTCATGGGTGTGATTTATCTAGTCCGAGTGATCTACTCAAGGTTTTTCAAATCTAAGAGAAAACTATGAACTCCAAGTTCAGTGAGCTTCCTTAAATCACTTACAATATATGTTAATGCTATTAAGCTTTGGGAAAACAGTTTGGAGAAAATTAAGTTTTAAATCTTTATAAGGAAATGGATTGATTAGGAGATCCTGACTAGTTCTTTGCTTTTACCTCGATCCTAATTATAGTTTTAAAATCATCCTTTCGCTGGGATATTTGCATCAGTAGAGTAAACAATACTGCCTATTAAAGGTGATGTATAAACTTTGAATGATGTAGATGTCAGTGAATTCTATACACACATTCACTTGCTTTCTTTGTATTGGTATGTTTGCCTATATTGAAATACATAAGCACTGAAAAGAAAAAAAGAAAAAGATGGTGAGATTTGAACTATTTCCTTTAAAGTACTGAGCAGATCAGTAATTATATTTACATTGACTCAATTTACTATTATATTACTCATATACGTACTTGATTAATATTTTTCTTTGTTAATCACAAAATAAAATGTGATACATGCATGTAAGTAACAAATATTGCATTTTTCTGGCAATGTGTTCTGTATAAAAAATCTTCACTGTTCTAAAAATCATTGTTACTAATCTCTAGTTCAGAGATTTCTTAAAAAATTGTGCCTTATGTGTTCCATCACAAGCCTGTTCCATCACTAAGCACACACAGCAACACACAACATATAATACAAATATTTGGGTTTCAATTAAGTGACAAGTCTATTTTCTCAAGTGCAATTCTATTTTTATAACAGATGAAGTATTCTGTTTTAACCTCTGTTTCTCCTCCTATGCAATCTAAATCTGAAAAGATTTAGAATCCTGTGTGTTTCTGGTACCCAGATCCTGAAAGTCACAAAGGCAGGAAGGCACTTGACAAGTAGCTGTGCATGTTATTTTTAAGGAGAATGCATGCCTATTAGCAATTTTAGCAAGGCACCCCCATCCCTCTATCCCCCGTTATTGCCCCCCTTCCCTTACCTGCTCAGCTGCCTCAGGTGCTATCTGACTCTGAAATAAGGGCACAGCAAACTGGATCTTTTTGGGACTGTTGGGCTCCATAATAGCGATGGGGGTGATCAGAAGTGCAAAGAACTCAGGAGGGCTTTAAATAGAGTGATGTCTGGGATCCTGACTTTTCTTAGGCACAGCACCCCCTCCAAGCCACACAGACAGCTTCTTAATAAACAGCTGTGATTCCAGAGTAATCAAGTGAAGCCGGCTGGGCTGAGTAACTCCTTTCTTCAATATCCACAGCGATGCTTCGCTTGCCTCCCCCTACCCCCCACCTCCCCAATCCCTTAGATCCTCTCAGCACAATGCTGAAAGGAACAATAAGCTAATTGTGTGCCTGTTCACTAATACACATGCCAAGCATTCACTCAGAAGCTCATTGAAAATGCAATACTAGCCCTGAATGGCCTGCTGCCCTGGGATTTGAAAAAGATCTATCCAGTGTACATTACTAACCGGCTGCTCAGATGTGCAATGTAAGCTCCCTCTGAGTATTGCAGTGATGAGCCATTCATTATTGATGATCCCAAACCAGGAAGTTTTCAGAGATGAGGGCAAGGGTTGGGTCTGCAATCATTTTATTTCTCTTGTAGCAACTCCAAAGTCAGACACCTTCACTTTTTTTTTTTTTTTTTGCAGCCCACCGCCCATATAGACAAATAATGATAGAGGCTAAGCCACAACAAATAATCTTTACAGTCTTTTGGTTCCAGGTACACAATTAACTAAGAATGAACAGAGGAGGCAATGTGGAGGAGGTAGCAACTCACTGAAAGAGGAGTCAAAAGACCTGGCTTCTGGCCCCAGGGCTGTTCCCAAAAAACCTTTGGAGCCTTAGGCAATTCATTTCTAGGGATCCCCGAACCTTTGAGATGCCCAATCTCCAAATCCCTCATTTTGCAGGTAAGGAAACTGAGCCCCAGAGATCTGAGCCTCCTTTTTTTCAATCTGTTAAATGAGGGGCTATTACCAGGTGATCTGTAACGTCCCTTCCCACTCAACATCCTCTGATTCGAAATCATATTGCATCTCTCAGTGGGAGGAGGGATTCCAGCAGAAACAAGTTATTTTCTCTAGACTCTGGCTCAAGTGTAGAGGAATGGGTAAGCTGTGAAACCACTGGCAAATATTAGTGGATATCTAGGGCACGTTGCCACCAAGAGGAAAAGAGAGAACTAAAAGACAAACAATAGAGAGAAGGCACAAAAGGAGCCCCCTCCAGAGAAATGATCCACAAATTCTAGACCTGGGAAAAGAAAATGAAATTTTATCAAGAAACGAAAAGTCTTTTGCCTCTTGATCTGGAAAAGTATTGTTTGATGTTGATTCAGGAATGCTCAATCTCTCTGTTGGGGTATACACACAACACATCACCATGAAGTCTCTTTGTGTGTTCCTGGAACAAAAGACATTCAAACTGTGATGGGGGGCTGGGGAGAGGGGAGGTTGTATATGTATCTGTTTTACTTTGATCTCAGACCAGCAATCCATCTCATCTATTTCAATATGTGCTGTTCTGTTTTAAGAATATGGAAAACAACATGCATTATTGAAAGTTTTCAATGCCCATGAGGCAAAAGTAGATAGGTATTTGAAAGCACTATCTGCAGAGAGTAGTGCTGACCAGCAAGGAATCATCTAAGGCCTACCAGTCAGGCTTCTTGTGCCCCAGACCAGGACCAGGGCCAGTCCTCCTCCACTCTTGGAAGAAGAAATCCAAATACCATCTGAGCTATGTGCCAACATGACATGCCCGCTTTTCCACTTGCCTCTGTGCCTTTAGAATATAAGCACCTTTAGGGCAGGTACTGTCTCTTTTTGCTTGTGTTTGAATCTCCAGCATTTTCTATAATGCCTGGTACATAGTATGGGCACATAAGTGGTGCAGTGGATAGAGCGCTGGACCTGGAGTCAGGAAGATTTATCTTCATGAGTTCAAATCTGGCCTCAGATACTTACTAGCTGTGTGACCCTGGGCAAGTCACTTAACCTTGTTAGCCTCAGTTAACTCATCTGTAAAATGAGCTTGAGAAGAGTGGCAAACTACTCTGTTATCTTTACCAAGAAAACTTCCAAACAGGGGTCACAAGGAGACTGACACAACTAAAAAATGACTCAACAACAATTGGTACACAGTAAGCACTTAATAAATGCCTGTTGTCCTATCTGCCAATCCATTCATTGACTCCTATTGAGTTTGCCTTCCATGAAAACTTCCAAATCTTTTCCAGAAAATTCCTGCCTAAGCATTCCTCCATTGCATGATGATTTTACTTTTTTGAAAATTTACTTTTTGGAAAACATGTAGGAATTTTACATTTATTCCTATTGAATTTCATGTCATTAAATTCAACCTAATGTTCTAGACTATAGAGATCTTTTGGATCCAGCAGGTTAGCTATCTCTTCAAGTTTTTTATTATCTACAAATTTGATTATCATGCTATCTATACCCTTATCTGAGACATTAATAAAGATTTTAAATAAAAAAGAGTCAGAGCTAGATCCCTGGGGCACTCCATGGAGACCATAGGCTCAGGTTAGGCCCAAATCAGGTGTAGCCTGTGTAGGTGTGCCTGGAAGGCAGAGAAAGGCAGACTGAATACCTGGCCAATCCAAAAACAAGCTATTTATAACTCTGCTATATATCAGTCCCTGCCCTCAAAGCAGTTATATTCCAATGGGAGCAGACTCCATACAGAAAAGGAGGCTGAAAGATGGGGAAAACAGGCAGACTGCTAGAGCATGGAAGGGAGCAGATCTTCCAGATAGAGGAGACTGCTGGGAAATACTTCGGGGCTGGGGGAGGGGGGCATCCAAAGAGTCAGGAGTGGGGCCTGGAAAGTAATGAAGAAATGAATGTTAAAATGGAGGTTCCGGGAGGAGAAAAAAATATAAGTGCTTTTGATAGCAGAAAACAAAGAACAGATACCAGAGTCTCATGCTATGTATTAAGAAGTATTATTAGACTGATTATAAACATTCATTTTTGTTTATTAAAAAATTTTTCAGTGTAAAAGAATGGCTTCAATGCACAAGTATTTTGTGAGTTACTTGCTATCTATACATTTGTTCATGTCTAGAAAAATGTCTCTTTAAATTTAAGGCATGATATATCACTTCATCTGCTGTCCATTCAATTCTTCTGTTTATCGTGCTGTGTTCAAACATTAACAGGTAATTGTACTTTATTACTAAATCCAATAGCTTTATTCTATCAGTAACTCATGACATATTTGGCCCTGGGCAAGAGGTAGCATAATTTATCTTTCCCAATATGAAACCATTCGATTATAAGTTAACTTCCACTTTTACTACTCAGTTCTAATTTAGATCTTCATCTCTTCCCAGCTAGACTATTGTAATAACCTCTTAACTGATCTTTCTGCCTCCAGTATACTCCATCTTCAATTTATCTTCTAATCTTGAGCATAAAAGATCTCAAAAGGCATCACTATAATCACATCTCCCCTCTACTCAGCAGCTTTCAATGGTAAAGATGAGAATCATCTGTGAACTAAATTATTAATTCCTGTTCCTAGCATTCAAAGCCCTATATAACCTGGCTCCAATTGATCTTTCCAGTCTTATATCATGCCACTCCCTTTCATATAGGTGGTACAATGGATAGAGTGCCATGTCTGGAGTCAAGAAGACTCATCTTCCTGAGTTCAAATTCAACCTCAGATACTTACTAGCTAGAGAAGGAAATGTAAACTATTTATTCCGGTATCTTTGCCAAGAAAACCCTAAATAGGGTCATGAAGAGTCAAGACAGGACTGAAAAAATGACTGAAAAACATGTTCCTAAGAAACTTGCCTAAAGATCTTGTAATTATCTTTACTCAGGTAACCACAGCTCATTTGATTCTCAATTCTTATTTTAGTCTGTATATCCACCTTGGTATGGTCCAACTTTGTTACCTCACCCACCACGCATTTAACTCAGATGCAAGTTCTTTTGTAACCTCACTCACCAGCCACTCAACCCAAATTCTACTTGGTTCAAGGAAAGATGCTACATTCTACTCCCATTGTCTGCAGCCTAATCCTATCATCTGAGGACTATTCCCATTTTCTGAACAAGAAGGATCTGAGGTGGCTTTCATCTTATCTCCTCATTAAAATGTCTGCCAATTGGGATTATTTTACCTTTAAAGTTGTTGATTTGCTTTAGTTGTGAATGACTGTGACCCCATTTGGGGTTTTCTTGGCAAAAATACTGGAATAGTTTGCCATTTCCTTCTCCATCTCATTTTACAGATGAGGAAACTGAGGCATCCAGGGTTAAGTGACTTGCCCAGGGTCACACAGCTAGTTAAGTATCTGAGGCCAAATCTGAATTCAGGTCTTCCTGATTCCAGGGCCAGAGCTCTATCCATTATGCCACTTAGCTGCCCCTTACCTTTGCCAGACGAGGGCAAAATAAGGTACTGTCAGGCCAGTCAGAAGGAACACACATCTAGATTTAAAAGATTCTGGTAGCCTCAGACCCTCAGAGTCTTTGGTCAATGAGAGAGACCACTGACCCAATTTACTGGTTACTGTTAGCCTAACTAATAAATTGGTCATTCTCAGAACCTTGTCTCTCAGTTTAACTTAATCTTCAAATATAACAATGCCATATGGATCTTTCACAGAGTCAAGCACTTAACACCAGGTTTGTGCTTCGCTGTTGTTCTTTGAAAGACTCTAAAAGAAGCAGCTGCAGTTTGTTAGGCAACAGCTGCCCAGGTTCACAACTGAGGTGGATAGGAATGCTGTGACCAGTGAGTGTTGTGCCAGCAAACCAGATTGTGTGAGATGATCCCTGGTGCCTGTAAAGATAATTTCCTCTTTGAGTTGGAGGGGAGACAGCTGCCCTTAATTGTCCCAATCCTCTGGAATTGATGGTTCACCCCTGTGAACAGGAATTAATGAAAGAAAGCACTGGTTCTTGTAGTAGATAGTTTTCCCTAGTCAATGCATACACCCACAGTGGGTCACCTTTCCACCTACAATTTTTGTCCATTCCCGACTCCTCATTCTCACCCCCCATAGTCAATCTTT